TCGTCAACCCAAGAAGCGTCTGCGTGTCCAGTGAGGACAACTGGACCCTGTCCTCCAAGCACGAGCCCCATGCCCGATGTACTGCACAAGTAACGCAACACCCTCTTAGCGGCCTCCCAGTGCTCTGGTCGGTGTCTCCCGGGCGCAACGTAGCGTGCCAGGATGCTAAGAGGGTAGGCAAGGTCATGTCGAGTGCAGGTCATCAGGTACATGAGGCAGCCCACAAGCTCTGGATACGAGCCACTCGGCTCTACGGACTCGTTTGAAGGTGGAGCTGAGAGCGAGTGACCGGTAGGCAGAGGAGTGGACTGTGGCGAGGAGAACCGGAAGCCGAAGCGCTGAAGGACCTGCTGCACCATGTGTGACTGAGTCAGGGTGATGGTGCGCCGTGCTCTGTCCCGGGTGATCTGCAAGCCAAGATAGCTGCGCAGCTCACCCAGGTCTGTGTACGTGTGTCTCTTCTGCAGCTCTGACTTCACAAGGGCCAGTGCCTCAGTGTCAGCAGTGGCAAAAACCAAGTCATCGATGTACACGAGGATGTAGAACGGCGGCATCGAAGTGTCGGTGCGTAGAAACAGCGACGGGTCAGCAGTCGAAGGAGCAAACCCAAGAGCCGCAAGTGTCGTCCTCAGTGTGCCGTGCCACTCACGAGGCGCCTGGCGAAGTCCGTAGACTGGCCGCCGGAGACCCAGTGAAGCCAGGTGGGCGGTGCAGCCAGATCTCCTCGTGCAGGCTGCCCTGTAAGAATGCTGTGCTGAAGTCAAGAGAGTGAAGCTCGTAGTCACGCTGAGCGGCAACGTTCAGCAACACCCGAAGATTGGTCATCTTCGGAGTAGGGGAGAAGGTCTGGAAGAAGTCAACTCCCTGTCGCTGACTAAAGCCTCGTGCAACGTAACGAGCCTTGAAGACAGGCGGAGAACCCGGCGGCCGCTTCACCCTGAAAATCCACATGCCATCGACTATGTTCGCCCCAGGAGGGGGAACCTCGTCCACGTAAGTGCCTGTGGACTTCCAGGATGCCATCTCTGCGTCCATGGCTGTCTGCCACTGAGAGGAGTAGGGACCCGTAATCGCCTCTGCGTAAGAGCGCGGGGTCGGGATGTCTAAAGCATCTGGGTCTCCCTCAGGTGCAAGCAGCATGGCCACGAGATGAGGTACAACAACTGATAGACACTCAAAGTCCTCTTGCCTGTCCTCAAAGACGTCCGTGCCAAGAGCACACTCACCCTCGACGGACGGAGGACAGTCAGGCTCAGAATCAGCAACAAGACTAGCGGCGTAGTCGAGACGACCCGCATCAGCAAAGTCAACAAGCTCAGCAACTAAGGCAGATGGAGCAGTGGACTCAAACGAAGGTCAGTGACAACAGTGGCTAGGAGACGTGTGACAGTAGGGCTGGCAGCACGGACCAAGTCAGACTCAGGGTCGGGAACGTCAGGAAGAGAGGACGCCGGAGGAGACGGCAGGGGAACTCACAGTGGAGCAGAGGAAGGACGAAGTGCCATACCGTGAGTGCCCGGGACAGGAGGAGGACGCTGACGAGGAACACGACGACCAGTGCGAACAGCGCGAACAGGCGAGGCAGGACGGGACGCAGGCTCACGACGCTCTAAAGGAGAGTCTGTCTGCTCAGTGTAGGGAGAAGGAGCAGGCAGTGGGGAGTCTGGCTGTAACTGTGGCTGCGACTGGTCAGGCGGTGGACATAGTAAGGGAGGAGTAAGGCCAGTTGAAGACGGGAGACTAAGAACCTGGCGAAGCAGGGGAACGAAAAACGGTCGCGGCCGCACAGTGCCTCCAGCACCAGTACCGACAGCTCCAGCACCCTCAGGGCCAGTACCTCCAGCTCCAGGGTCTCCAGCTCCAGCGCCTCCAGCTCCAGGGTCTCCAGCTCCAGCGCCTGCAGCACCACCAACTCCAGCAGCTCCAGTACCTCCAGTACGAGCACCTCCGGGACCAGCGGCTCCAGCACCTCCGGTACCTCCAGCTCCAGCGCCTCCAGCTCCAGGGTCTCTAGCTCCAGCACCTGCAGCACCACCGGGACCAGCGGCTCCAGCACCTCCAGCACCTCCAGCACCTCCAGCACCTCCAGCACCTCGAGTACCAGCAGCACCACCAGCACCCGCAGCTCCAGTACCTCCAGAACGAGCACCTCCAGGACCAGTAGCTCCAGCACCTCCGGTACCTCCAGCTCCAGCGCCTCCAGCTCCAGGGTCTCTAGCTCCAGCACCTGCAGCACCACCAGCTCCAGCAGCTGTAGTACCTCCAGTACGAGCACCTCCGGGACCAGCAGCTCCAGTGCCTCCAGCTCCAGTGCCTCCAGCGGCATGCCCCCCAGCTCCAGCAGTGCCACTCCGAAGGCGGGTGCGCCGAGCAAACCACTCGTGCAGCTGCGGTGGAGAGAGAGGCTCCCGCCGTGACGAGGCACCCGTGGAAGGTCCGCGTGGAACTGCTCGCGGAGCTGGAGACGGACAGCGCGGATCCAAGGGATCAAAACATCAGGGACCTCCCCCTTGCTGCGCAAGGGGAAGACCGTGGTGTAACGCGAGTAATCGTCAACAACCAGCAGAAAGTATCGCTCGCGGCCCTGTCCACGGACGCGGGCTGGGCCCCACACGTCCATGTGGAGAGTCTGCAGGGGAGCAGTCGTCGGGGGAAACGAGGAGTGAGGAGCGGCGCAGCGCCGCCCCTCGACACAGGGAAGGCAGGGAGGAGGAGGCGAGGGTGGGAGGGGAGGCAGAGACTTGGGAAGACCAGAGACAAGTAGGGGTGACCAAGGCGGTGGTACCAAAGAAGAGTCTGGTGCGACAGGAGGCGACACGAGCAGGGGGCTGCTACCGGACCTGACGCGGACACCTGACCAGACGCAGCTACCTGAGGAGGCTCAGTAGTCAGTGTGTACAGACTGGACCCAGGCCGACGGGTGAACGTGGCCAGGTGATGGCCCGTCCGTGTACACGTGCAGATCGACACACGCTGACCCCCAGGAGTGGTGGTAGTGACCATCGCATCCTGGAGGGCAGCGGTACTCACCAAGTTCGTAGAGAACGAGGGGAGGTGAAGACCTAAGAGTGAGCCGGACGGAACCGCCGGACACGGGAGAACAGTGGAGGAACGTGCAAGAACAGGATGTCAGAATATAATGCTTGTCTAGTCTGTAGTGGGGTACTCAATAGTGAGTATAACCCTTTAGGGCTTGCTATTTGTACCTCCCTCCTTTCTAGTCAAATCCTCTTTTGCCTACTCTCTCTTGCCTAGCTAGCTAAACCCTAGCTATGGCTCCTCGTTCTGCCTGCTATTCCAACACTGGGCCCCCTGAGGGGTCAGCAGTCGGACTGCAACAGGTGCAGGGAGTGGTGTGACTGTGGAACTGTCGCGAAAGAAACAGCGGGAAGCACCTCAATTCGAAATATGATGAAAAGAGGGAATGTCGCAGGCCTAACCAGCTCTGATACCATCATACCACTGATGGAAAGCGAACGAATCTGGAGAGCGTACAAGAGATTAAGTCCGCCGACTTCGACGGAACATTGCGTGCATCTCACGTAACCTTAAACTATGCGCAGGTACGCGTTGGAAAGGTCGTAATCTCTACTTTCCAGAATGGCAATGCACGTCTTCAACCAAGTTCTAGGCCGATCGCTATCGCGATTTAAGTGCGACGGGGTATCCTGGCGGAATTACTTGGCAGCCATGGATTAGATCAAGAAAGTAGCTTTAGCAAGAGTTCAGATCTGCAAATTGACGAGTTTGTCAAACCCTACCAGCCCAACCCTCGCCATTCAACAATCCCCAACAACCCAACAACCTAGCAACACTAAAGGTGTTATAGTGGGTAGCAAAGGTTTGTTGGTGCTTGTTGGGTGCGAGATCAAATCCAGCTCGCAACAAGTCTAGCAATCATATTTTGCCCAAACCCTTAGCCCACAACCAGCTAGAGCAAAATACCACAACCACCTACACTATCAACAATTCAAAATATTTTCAATCACTTTGTCATAATTCTATCAATATTTATACAATCCATACAATTTCACAATCGTGCATCATTGCGTTCACTATGTATGAGCACATTTTTTGTTCATACACATTACTTACAGGGGTGCATGGTGTATCGCATGCTCGCATGACGCTCGAGGAAGACAACATTCCATTGAGTCTCTTCACACCTACGCCTCTGTCTGGACTGTTCTCATCCATCCACCCGTGCGTCATCAGGTTTGTGTTCATATCAAATCGTAAAGTCTAATGTCATGTTGTAGTATATTTATGGTTTTGGTGATACCTTGTCTCACACTTTGTACACCACATTATTTTCCATATTGGTGGTAATAGTCGCGCACGTTCTTTCTAAACCCAGACATTTACTGTTACTATACAATGCTAAGGAAGAGAGAAAGTGACTAAAGGAAGAAAGCACCTAAGGACCAAACACAACAGCAACCCGCACCACAACGCGGGTACAGTGTTTCAAGCACAGCCACCAACTGCCTACACATAGGCATCGTACATATACTGCATGCCTGCCACACTCTCAAAACAGCTTGTGATATGATGCCAACTGCCCTGCCGTGTACCTAATGGGATTGGCACGGGCATCCACCCATCGTCCGACCCTCCCAACTACCACACCGCGTGCTGTGTAATACTCTGAGCTTGCGCCCGCTGCAGTGCCATGGAGAGACGTGTAGTGAGTCCCGTCTCAGAGTCCCGTACACACCCCCCCAAAGTCCTTCCACCGATGTGCCATCCGCCGTGCACAAAGCCCCAGAAACTGCTGCATAGCCTCGCTGAGCAACCCAAACGTCTCCGCCACACACGTATAGAAATGTGGGGGCGGCTGCAACCCATCTAGGCTCAGTCCTGAGTCCCGCAGCTTGTCCTGTACTCATCAAGCCGCTGCCACACCTATCTGTATGGGGGTCACTCGTCTAAGCCCAGCATTCCCCTCTTGCTGTGGATCCACGATGGAGGCATCCACCAAAACCATCAAAATTCTCTCTATGTCACGGCAAGTCAGGACTAGGCGTCCCTATGCGTCCGGCATGCCTTTGCTGCTGTACTGGTTGTTGCTGTGCCTGGTCCCTCTGTGCCTCCACTCTTGTCACCTCTGCCCCTCTATCCTCTCCCCCACCCACCTTCCTCCTCCCCTCTCCTCCTCTCCCCTCCCCAAACTCCCCATCACCCTCACCCTATCCCCCACTATCTCTCTCACCTCAGAGCCCTCCCCTCCTAACCCCTCTGCTCCCCCAGCAGTCGTGTCACCTCTCACCTCCTCTCGCCCCCTCCCACAACCAAGCCAAAACCCGAAGGCGGGGCCCCTTGGGCCTGGAGACCCTTCTGCCCCTGCTAGCTCTCCTGCTGCTATCCCTACCGTCCCCTCTCTTCTCCGGTATTAGCCTGCCTCTCCTGCCTCTGCTGGCCCTCCTGATGCTGCCCCGCTGTCCTCTCTCCTCTCCCCTACTAGCCTGTCCCTCCTGCCTCTTCTGACCCTCCTGCTGCTGCATCTGATGTCCCCTCTCCTCTCCCCAACCAGCCTGCCCCTCCTGCCGTCCCCTGTGCCTGCCCACCCCTCGACCTGCCCGACCCTGCTGCTGCTGCTGACCCCATGGTACCCCGGACTGATCCTTGCCGCCCTTCGGCCCCGACGGTCCCCCAGCCTGAGTCCGTCCCCCCATCTGCGAGAGTCCCTGCAGTCGCGGGACTGCACTCGAGCTGCCTCGAAGTGCGGGATCAGTGAGGTGTCATCCACCTTTGCCGCGAAGCCTGCCTCGACAGCAAAGTCTCGGAGTATGTACTTCATAGTGTCGTGGATGACCGTGGCGATGCCGAAACGGGGGCACCGCACCACGGGGTGAGGTACTGCCATGTCGTCGATCCCCTGTCCGCAAGAACACCGACCTGCAAGGGCTAGTTGAAGGATAGGGCGTCCGAGACGGAAGGCTGAAGCCACCTACCACTGCACCTCTGGTATGCGCAGGGAGTTGCATCTGGTATGCGCAGGGAGTCTGTGCCCTGAAGGAATGTCCAAAGGGCAAGGTGCAAGGGGTCAGTGTGACGGGCCCCGACTGACTCCAAGGCTGCCTCCAGGACATGGCTCACTCTTGTGAATAGGGAATCGAGGGTAGTAGAGACACAAGAGGGCCAGGGGGGGAAGAGAGAGAGAGGATGTAAGGTGGGAGGCCCTCCAGCGCAGTCCGCATTGATCGAGTGGAACAACCTACGGGCTGGGACGTGGCCACAGGCTGGGACACGGCGGATGTCGAATGGGCGACGCGTGGAACTGGTTGGGGACCTCAGCGTGAACAAGCAACTGAAGCAAGAGAAGGTTGGGGCGCCTTTTCTTGGCAACCTGCAATCACAAGAGAACATGAGCCAGCAGTTACGGAAGTGGAAGCACGAGAAGACATCACTGTCGGCGTGACGGAACATGCAACGGAGTTACCTGCTCCTGAGTAAGAAGCATTTCCCGGTTTTGGGCCTCACCTCATCCCAGTCACAACCGACAGAAGCAGCTACTGGCGTCTCGACACAAGGGGAGCACCAATCAGCGAAACCGTGGGAGAAGTCGTTGTCAGCCAGCCCGAAGAAGAAAACCTTGACACGGGCGAAGCCCCAACGCCCTATCAAGACCCGCAACTACTCCCTGTGACAACCGACACGAGAAACTTTGGTGAATATGTCGGCGTGATGCGAGGAACAAGACTCGAGACTCTCCAAGTTGCGGCCATCCAAGTCTTTGCTACCAACATACCTGCAGACAGAACAAGTACCCCAACAGAGACTGACGGTTTAGCTCGAGAGAGCAAACATATGGCACCATCGCCTCGACCATCCATCCGTTGAAACACTCAATACCTTAATTAAAGCCGAAGTGTTTGTGGAAGATGCACTACTGCTGCCAGACGACCACAAGCTTCAACTCAGGACGGAGATACCCACCCACCTGCACGTGTGCCCCCAAGCGGCCCTGGCTCACAAACACTTTGCTGAAAAGACTCCCAGGCCTGAACGATTCAATCCGCTAGACATAGTTTATAGCAACTTTCTGTGTCTTACCGCCCGCGGACTTAAAGGGGAGTACTATACGATCACCTTTATTGATGCCGCCACTCGATTCGTCTGGGCAAGCAACGTCGAAAGCCATCACGCCTTGGACTGCTTTTACATGTGGCTGAAAATGGCGCAGACACAATCGGAAGGAAAGAAACTCAAAGCCCTCAGTCAGACGGAGCAGCAGAGTACACCAGCGACAAGTTCCGCAAGTTCTGTGCCAAGAAGAGGATTAAGCGGACGATCTTGCTGCCCTACGCTCACAAGCAGCATGGATTGGCTGAAAGGACCAACAGAAGCCTCGCGATAAAAATGAGGGCCCTGATGAAGCAGGTAGCCGTGCCAACTGTTTACTGGCCCTACGCAATAGCTCATGCTGTACGCCTGCACAACATGTCGTCTTCAAAGGCCCTGCACAACAACAGTTTGCGATTCAAGGAGAGGACAGGGGAAAATCCGGACACACAGATGTTAAGAGTTTTCGGGTGCATGGTACAGTACCGACCCCACACTGCCCGAACCGAAAAATTCAAGGATTGCGCAATATGGGGCATCCACCTCGGCATCGAACCGAAATTCTATGCATGGACCATCCTCGACTTCGCCACCCACCAAGTCATGCGTTTACAGAGCACAGCTTCGCAACAGACCAGGATGAAGCTGACGTGGTAGAAAAATCAGAAGAAAATCAAATCGGGGACTAGCCCCCCTTCATCCCCGTTACAGATGAGTTCAACACTCCAACATTCATCCCAATCGATATTGACACAAATGAAGCACTACAAGCTCAGTTCAACTACGAAAGTGCTAAAATGCACTCACCCATGGAAGAAAATCCGAACCTGGATGCCTCACGCGACAGCATTCGCGAAATCACATGCGACCACATTGACGACCACGTGGTCGAAGTCACCAACACTTCTAACTCCGATTTAACCGGGTTACGCATATTCAGACTCGCCGTCGCAGTTCGCGGGAACCAGCACCCCGCTGAGCCTACAACGGTTTGCCAAGCTCTGCAGGGACCCAACGCAGAGAAATAGAGAGCAGCCATGGCCGTCAAAGTAGCTGCACTGAAACGATGTGGCACATGGAAGTTAGTGCCACGGTCAGCAGCAAAGGGGCGAAAGATTCTCAATGGAAAGTGGTTCTTCCAAATCAAAACACTGGCAAACGGCGCGATTGACAAGTACAAAGCGCACAGGGTCGTGCGCGGCTTCGAACAGACACAATTCATCGACTACGACCAGACGTTCGCACCTGTCGGACGACATACCTCCGTGCGAATTTCAATGTGCATCGCCTCCCTCAAGCAACACCCGCTCCGGCAAATCGATGTCTCCAACGCGTTCCTCTATGCGATTGTCGACGCTATCATTTTTGTCGAGCAGCCGCACGCATTCAAAGAGGACGACTCCGTCGTCTGCCTCCTCCAGAAGTCGATGTACGGCATTAAACAAGCACCGCACCTATGGAAGCAATACCTTCACACGGAACTCATCGAGCTCGGGTTTTAGCAGCTCCCACACGACCAAGGAATGTATCTCCCGGAGTCCCGCGGTAACTACATTTTACTCTTCGCCTACGTGGACGACCTCTTGTACACCGGGAACAACACGGAGCTACTCGATCGCTTCGAGCACAACATCAAGGAGAAGCTGGAGGTGACCATCTCACATGACATCACTAAGTTCCTGAGGCTAATCATCACCCAGTCTGCCGATACTACTCATCTGTCGGCTGCTATGTACGCCGAAACACTCACGAAGAAAATCCGGCATCGCCCTTGTCAACCTCACCACACCATTCCTATCTCCTCCGCCTAACCACGAGCCCGACACCACGCCAATCTCCGCAGAAGAGCATCGCCTCTACCTGGAGCAGCTAGGCTGCCTCCTCTACGCCGCCGCCACGCGCCGACCGGATTTATCCTATGCCGCTAGCCAGCTCGCCCAGTCATATGGGGGCATTACGGCGTGCACTACAGTACTTCATTTCTACACCTGACGTCGGCCGGACCTACAAAGCTAATTTAATGGCAACTCTAGAGCTAGCGGGCTATGTGGATGCACACCACGTAGGAGGCGCTAACAACAGGAGGTCCGCAAGTTTCAAACTTGAGCTTGCCGGACACATCTCCTGTAACTCCCAGAAGCAGGAGCTCATCGCCCCCTCGTCAGCCGAAGCTGAGTTCATCGCTGCAAGCGCAGTAGTTTGCGAAGGGCTTTACCTGACGGAGCTAATGCAGGAAGCGAAAATTACGATGAACGGGTCATTCAAGTTACTGTGCGACAACCAGAACACGATCAAGATCGCGAAGAAGCACGGAACACATCGCAAGAAACACATCGCCCTCCGTTATTTGTTTCGTGAAGGGAGAGATCGACAAGGTCAAAGCCAAGCTCACCTACTGCCCAACTGACGAAATGGCAACAGAATTCCTCAGAAATTTCAGTACTCCGCAGATCTGTGCGAAGTCGTCAAGAAATCCCAGATGGCACACATTCAGGAATGAAGGGGAGTTGGAATATCCAAAAGGTATTTCAGCATTCTAGAAGGCATAACCTTACCGCACTTGCCACTAGCGAAACAACACCTGTACCACTACCTCGTTAGCCCATATAGGGCAGTAAAGTCAACACTCGCGAGCTGCTTCAACTGTCGCAACTGTCTCGGAGGTTACGAGCTGCAACGAGGTAACTATAGGGATCGCAATATTCACTACTACTATATCGATACATGTATTACCGTTAATAAGGGAATGAGCCCCTCACAGTACATGCCTAATAATGAATGTATATTGCAATGCACTTATTTTTTATTATTTCCTTATTCCCCCGGATATAAGACCCCCTTTCCCTATTTAAGGTACCCAGGTCTTTAAAACCCGGAAGGGGGGGGGGGAGGGGGGGGGGGGGGGGTATATGACTTCGGTACGTTTGAGTTATACCGCACTTTTGGGGGTGACATCATTAAAAGACACCCCCCCCTCTCTCCCCCCCCCCCCCCCCCCCCCCCCCCCCCCCCCCGCCCCCCCTCCTTCCCCCCCCCCCCCCTCCCCTTCCTCCCCTCCGCCCCTAGGTTGATTTTTTTTAACGTTTTTCCACAGTCAGAAACATCATTGCCATCACGGGCGATACCCAACACCAAATACTTCACCTACACAATAGCTACTAACATCACAAGAGCTTTGATCACCGGATACATAACATCCTCTCTACTCGTCATCATCCTCCTCCGCCACCCAGTTTTCCACCTCCTCCGCCTCGTAGCGACCAGGGGCCCACACTCGCCCCCTTCATTGCTCCACTCAGTGCCGTGTCCACTTCGCCCTGGTCGGCGGCGTCATCCTCGCTCGAGGAGGCTTCAGCAGCGGCAGTCTCCACATCGGCCTTGTCAGCATCCGCCGCCAACAGAGCCCCCTCCTCCGCCTCCACGTACTGATCAGCCGGGGTGAGAGAGGGTCGGGATATAAGGGGTTCGGCACCACCTCGTCCATGTCTTCGTCTTGTACATCCTCGAGCTCCTCGAATTCGGCCTTGTCCCACAGGTGAGCGAGGATCAGATGATCCTCGCTCCCGTCCTCGCCGTTAGACATGCCGAAGGTGAGGAACGACTTCCTCACCAGCTCCTCTGGGACGTCGGCCCACGACTCGTCAACCAATTTCAGGACGAGTTCGGTGGGTG